GCGGGAACTCCTGGCGACCCCCCCCCCTCTCCCGACCTTTCCGCCAGTGCACCTCTACGCACACGCACATATCTTCTCGAAGGTCCGCGCGGAATTCTTGGGCCTGCGCGGCCCCCCCCCTCGTGGAAGACCACGGCCCGCCGAGGATTCCCGAGGTCGGCGGGAACTCCTAGCGACCCCCCCCGACCTTTCCGCTAGCGCACCTATACGCCTTCCCCCCTGAAGCTCCTGCAAGCCCGTAAGACGATTGTTCGCGGCGCTGAGGCGACGACCAGATTTTGGAAACGGCCCGCCCCCCCACCGGAGAAGCTCTTGCAAAACTTGAACACGACTGCGCGCAGCGCTGGGACAAGAGCCACATGTTGAAAACGACCCGCCCACCATCCGCGAAACACATTAGCTGATCCGCGGGTCGAGAGCGCACCTCTTCCGGTCGAAGCGGAGCGGGCCGCGCGAGGCTCGAATTGGGCAGAGCAGAGGAGGGAGGAAGCAGCGGAGCCTCAGAGGCACCTCTACGCACACGCACATCTCTTCTCGAAGGTCCGCGCGGAGTTCTTGGGCCTGCGCGTGGCGTTCGTCTTCTCGCCGAGGCCTCCTTGGGCGTTCTGGCACCTCGCGTAACCCCTCTTCCAGGTCCAGGGGAGGGGGTTCAGGGAGAGGGGTGAACCTCTTCCCGACGGGGAAGGAGGGGAAGATGGACGAGAAAACCAGCTCAGCACTAAAGTCAACCAGTGTCGTTCGTCTTCTCGCCGAGGCCTCCTTGGGCGCTCTGGCACCTCGCGTAACCCCCCTTCAGGTCCAGGGGAGGGAGTTTAGGGAGAGGGGTGAACCTCTTCCCGACAGGGAAGACGGGGAAGATGGACGAGAAAGCCAGTCAGCACTGAAGTCAACCAGTGTCGTTCGTCTTCTCGCCGAGGCCTCCTTGGGCGCTCTGGCACAGGTGCCCTTGCCACCGGGGCTGGCCCAGGCCAGCCCCGGAGCCGCTGGTCAGCGGTGTGGAGGCCTGCTGGGCTCGGCCAGTATACGGGCGCACGCCCCATGCATGGCGCCCAGGATGGCCCTGGCTCGGCACGGTCTCCTTTCTGCAGGAGGAGGCCCCCCAAAGTAGTGGAAATATTGCCTGGGGGCATTTTGTTGGCCATGTTTGATCATTCTGGCGTATTTTGTGCTGCTTTTTTCCATTTGTCGCCCCAAATGCGCCTGTAGGAGGACATGCTCGACCTAGCCTTAAGTCGGGCTTGTCCATCTACAGGGGGAATATTCAAAAATAGTCAAAACATAGTCTGGGGACTATTTTTTGAGATTTGTTTTACCATTCTGGAGTATTTTAGGAGTATTTTTTTCGTCGAAAATTCCCCTGTAGGGGGACAGGCCCGACTTACACCTAGCCCGTCTGCCACTCCACTGTCCTGCTCCCCGCTTCCTTCGGCTCCAGCACGAGGACATCGCAGGACTGAGGGCGTACGAGGAGCTCGGGCTCTGCTACCACGACATCTGTCGGCCCGAGTGGCTGCACAGCGACCCCGAGCTGTTCTACGGCTTTTGGGGAGCTCGGCGCGGCAGAATTTATCCCTCCTCCTCCTCCTTCGTATCCTAGTCCTCCTCGCCTTGCTGCTGCTCCTCCTCCTCCTCCTCTTCCTCCTCCTCCTCCTCCTCCTCCTCCTCCTCCGCTCCTCCCGCTCCTCCTCCTCCTCCTCCTCCTCCTCCTCCTCCTCCTCCTCCTCCTCCCTTTATTGCGTCTCTCGCTGCTCACTCTCGGGTCGGCCTTTTCGATCGGGGGTGAGCATTGGGCCACCAGTATGCTTCGGACGCGCGGCTAGTACTCCAGTTCCTCTTCCTCTCCCGCCTTCACTGCGTTCCCACCGCGAGCGCAGACGCGCGGAAGGCACGGTGAGCGTTGGGCGAGTGGCACCCCACCGACCCCACGGACGAGTAGGAGCTGCCGAGAGCGGAGGAGGAGCAAGCAGTCGGGCAGGCTTACGATCGGTCTGAATCGCTCCAGAGCGTTCCAGGACGCTCTCAGAGCGTTCAGGACGCTCTGAAGCGGCCACGGCGGTGCCCGATGTATCCTCAGGGCCCACCAGCATTCCGAGATCTCCGATGTATCCCGATCCGATGCTGTTTCGAGCTCGGCTTCGTCTTAGGTCTTAGGAAGAGGCGGCGGAGGAGGAGGAGGAGGAGGACTTCGTGAGCAACTCGTGGCAGCCCTGTATGTCCTCGAGATTCTGTCTGTCGAGTGCACCAGCGTGGGCTAGCGTCCTCTGATCGATAAGGAAGCACAGATTTCGAGTCGATTCGCGTCGACTTAGCTTCGACCATCGTCGATTAGCGTCGGTTCGCGTCGCTCAGCGAGAGGCAGCTGAATGTCACTGGAGGCCCCCTGGGAGTTTCCACAGGAGAGGGCGGGCCATCCAGCCGCTGAGGAGGCGGAGGAGGCCACGTGCGTCCAACCGCCCAAGAAGCGGCGCCCAGCCCCCCCTCCCGCGCCGCCGGGGGGCCCGAGCCGATTCGGAGGGAGCGCGCGAAGCACGATCTCTGAGACACCCGCAGGTTCCGGGAGATACAGGGCAGAGAAAATGCATACAGTGCCGTTTTTCATACATGCTCCGCGTGCGGATATTGTATTAAAACTGCAGGGGTTTCGTACTAAAAATAGTGATGAGTTCATGCATAAATTTATGCATACATTGATCATGTATAAAAATCCCATGTGGTTTGAAATCCGATGTATTAAAACAAAAACTGCCCTGTATGTTCGTGAGCTTTCGGAGCTCCGCGCTGATTTCTTTCTTGGATCAGCGCTGGGGCCCCCGCCGGCGGCGCCTCCAGTGCCGATCCAAGACAACCGCGCGGGCCTCCGACAGTTTCTGGTGCTGCAGTTGCGTACTGCTTCTTATTCTTCTTCTGCAGAGGTCCGAGGTTCCGACCAAATTGGAGCGGCCGTCATTAGATATTCACCAGTTTGAAACATATCCCTATCCCTATGTTTGACATCACCTCACCTCGATGCCGATCTTAAGGATTCCCTCAGTTTCTGAGGGCCTATCCCTAAGATTGTCGTCGTTTTTTGCTCGCCCATCTTAGGGATAGGGATATGTTCGAGGCTGGTTAGATATCCAGCTGCATGCGGCAAGTCCCGCCACCGTGCCAGCCCAGTTTTCCCGGTGGCCTTCGCGCGAGAGAGCACGGAGGTCCCAACGAGTGTTTCATTTGGGATATCGATGCTTGGGAGACCCTTAGCACGTGGCGCGCTTTTCGCATGCCAGTCTTTGAGGCGTTCTTGGAGCAAGGTGGTCGACGCCGTCATAGCTGCACTTCGTCTGTGCTGGGGTTCTGGTGCATGCTCGAATTTTGTGAGGGATTTGCCCCGGGAGCTCGGATAGGATGTGTTTTGCGAGGGGTTGTGGTCTCGAGAGAGGGGCAGGTGCATGCGGGGCAGTGTGACGAGAGAGGAGGGGATGGCCCTTAGAAGATTGCAGAAACACCACGAGATATCACTTGGCAATTCCAGCACGCCTCAACGTGCCAGCGTGACAGCCCAGTTTTCTCGGTGGTCTCTGCGCTAAAAAGCACGAAGGTCCTAACGTGCGATATCTTCTATCTCTGGTCTTCGGTAAGCCGTAACGCGTGGCGCGCTTTTCGTAGGGCCGTCTTGGGTGCTTCTGGGAGCAAGGTGCTTGACGCCGTCACCCGTGACACCTCGGCTGTTTTGTTTTTGTTGGTGCATGTTCGAAACCTATGAGCCCGTCAGGGGCGATGGTGATGATGACGACGATGATGAGGATGATAATGTTGTCGATGATGACGATGATGGTGATGTTGATGTTGACAGTGACGGTGGTGATGATGATGCGATGATGATGGTTATGATGTTGATGGTGATGACGATGATGATGATCATGACGAGTAGGATGATGGTGTTGATGACGCTGATGACGGTGGCGGTGATGCTGTGGATGAGAGCGGTAATTGGGATGTTGGTGCTGAGGATTAATGTGATGACGATGATGTTGATGTTGATGATGATGGCCACGATTATGATGTTGGTGATGATGCTGATGATGGCGATGTTGTTGGTGGTGATGGTGATACGTTGGCGGCAATTATGATGATGATGTTGGTGATGATGATGATGATGATTATGCTGATGATGATGATGATGATGATGATGCTTGTGATGATTGTGGTAGTGATGATGATGGTGATGATGATGATGCTGCTGATGATGATGATGGTGATGATGATGATGATGATGATGATGCTGAGGTGGATGATCATGTAAGCACTGGTGGCGACGACGAACAGGACGATGCCGCTGATTATACTTATGATGAGGATGATATTGATGCTGATGACGATGATGATGCAAGTTATGCTGGAGATAATTATTTGTATCATGATGATGACGATGATGATGATGATGATGATGATGGTGGTGGTGGTTGTGGTGGTGATGACGATCTTGATGATGGTGGTACTGACGCTGATGAAGCTGATGAGTTTGATTATGGTGACGACGACTTTGATGATGTTGACGACGGTGAGGGCGATGGTGGTGATGGTGATGCTGATGATTATTTTGATGATGACGATGTTGATGATGATGGCGATGCTGATGATGAGGATGATGACGATGACGATGTTGCTGCTGTAGGGGATGATGATACTGATGCGGATGATCAAGCTGATGATGGTGATAGTGATGATGCATTCTGAGTTCATGCTGCTGATGCTGATGATGATGCTGATGATGATGATGATGATGATGAGGATGATGATGGTGAATGAACATGGTGATGGTGATGATGATGATGATGAGGAGGAGGAGGAGGAGGAGGAGGAGGAGGAGAACGAGGGGGAGGAGGAGGAGGAGGAGGAAGGGGAGGAGGAGGAGGATGATGAGGAACGCTGCCGCATGTGGCACCTTTCGCCTGCACTTCTTGAAGAACCCTCGTGGACTTCAGTTGAGCCGCTTGGGGGCCGTTGTGGAGCCTCCTGGGGTGCTTTTGTTTGCTCCCTGGAGGCCTCTTAGGGCGGATGGCTCGACTTGTCGGTTCGTGCTCCCCCGCTTGGGCCGTTCGTAGGACAGTCGTGGGGCCTTCTTCGGCCGATTTCGGCGCCCGTTTGGCCGTCTTGGAGCATTCCTAGGCCGCCTGGGTGCCCTCTTGGGGTGCTCTTCGGCTGTCTTGGGGTTGTCTTTGGGGTCTCTTGCGCCGCTCTGGAGCGTCAACAGGTCGAAACGGCGAGAACCCCAGACATGTAGAAACGCGCAGGTAGAATCACCGATGTGCGCCTCTCGGGGCCCCTCTTGCGGGCCTCTGTTTGGCCTCTGGGGCATGCTGGGGGGCTCATGGCACAGAAGCCTTGAATTCTCGGTTCGTGTTGCCCCTCTTGGACCTTGCTTGGGGCCGTTTGGGGGCCCCCTTGGACCGTCTTGGTCGCCTCTTGGGCCGTCCTGGCGCGTTCTTGGACCGTCTTGGAGCTCTCTTGGGAGCCTCTTGAGCAGCCCCGTGGCAGTCTTGGGGCGCCTGAAGCTCAACCATCCGAGAACCCAAACACATGGAACACCATTAGGGCAAGAGGGGGGGTGGAGGATACCTCGGAGGAGGATATGGTGGATGAGGGGTAGGATGAGGGAGGGGAGGAGGGAAGAGGAGTGAGGAGGAGTAGTCGGATGAGTACGAGGAGGAGGACGAGGACGAGGAGGAGGAGGAGGAGGAGGGCCAGGGCAAACCCAAGGCGCATCAACGATGTCACAATGCACGCTCCCTCCAAGTTCCCTTCCGTGTATTCCTGCAGGAAACCTTTATCTCATTGCAGGAAGTGGCCTGTTCGAAGACTGCCGCTTGAGAATCCTCAACCGTGCCAAGCAGTTCGTGGGACTACTACAATGTCGTGCCAGAGCACCGTTCCTGGTGCTTCAGCACAGCGAGTAAGGGTGACTCCTGTGTGTTGACAATTCTGAATGGAGCCAGAACACCATTACAAGGATTCCAGCATTACGAATCATCTTGAAAGGTTGCAAACTTTCATAACAGATCCGCGCAGCCCCATTGCGAGAACAACAGTTTAAACATGAGCCACCCTCCATCCGTGAAAGTGTTGCAGACGTTCAAGAGGATTGTGCGCAGTTCTGATGCACGAGCCACAGTTTGAAAACGAACCGCCCTCCACCCATGAAAGCGGTGCACACTTTGAAACGGATATGCTTGGCGCTCAGGCGAGAGACTTAGTTTGAAAACGAACCCCCTTCACCAGTGAAGCTGTTGCAAATATGAAGCTTCAGGACCATACATGGGAGGAATTACTTCCTCTGGTAATTGAGGAGGAGCGACAGGGAGGATTTATTTATACGGATCTGTGAGGAGGTGCAGGAGGAGGGTGAGCAGAGAGGCCTAAGGCCTGCTGGATGTCTCTCGGAGTCTTTTCGGAAGTCAGTTGAGAGCTTCTTGGTCTCCTCCCGGGGTGCCACGAATGCCTCTTGGAGCGTCTTGGGTACCTCGGGGGTGCCTTGTGCTGTTTTTTGTGCCTTCTGCGTTTTTTTCGGGGGGTTCTTGTAAGCCTCTTGGGGATCTCTTAGGTGTCTCTGAGGGCCTCCTGGGCGCCTGTTCGGGCCCTCTTGGGAGTCTTGGGGACCATCGTGGGGCCATCGTGGAGGATTTCTGTCAAAGAAGGGAGGGTCCTCACCTAGCCCACACCCCAAGAAGCCAACATGGGCCCAACACTAAAGTCAATCAATGGTGCTCGTCTTCTCGCTGAGGCCTTCTTGGGCGCTCTGACACCTCGCGTAGCCCCCCCTTCCAGGTCCAGGGGAGGGGGTTTAGGGAGAGGGGTGAACTTCTTCCCGACGGGGAAGGAGGGGAAGATGGACGAGAAAACCAGCCCCACACTCACGCCCAGAGGGCTGGTGGGCTTCGGACCAGCACGCCCGGCTGGAGACCGGTCTTGGTCCTGCAAAAGACAAGGCCCCCCGCACCAGTGATTATCCTGCGGGGCGCGGTCCCGATTTCTCGGCAGGGTTCCGCTCGGCCGTCCGCCAGTTCCCAATGGACCATGTTGGTCAATCGTCTCGCTTCGGTGCGCGCCGCCGTTTGCTCGACCGACGCCTGGTCGCATGCGTCCGCAGACCGAAAGGTTGACCAACCATCCTTTCGCCTCTTCTGGCAGCGGCGGGCTCCGCCGTCCCACGCCTAGGGCAGAAACCAATTTTGATTCTCGCATGCGGGTTTAGCACCACCGCGAGTTAGATGTTGATGCAGCATAGAAGCAAGAATGTTATACCCAACTTGCAACAGGGATATGGGTCTGTAATCCTCTGGCAGAGCTGTATCTCCGTTCTTAGGCAACAGAACTACGTTCGCATGCCTCCAAGAATCAGGAATTGATTTCTGCTCCCAACATTTCCGACATAAGTGGAGCATGATGGCACAGGCGTCCCGGTGCGAACCCAAGGTCTTCCAGAAGTTTTGGGGGATACCGTCCGGCCCAGCAGCTTTCCCAATACGTAGCCGGCGCAGCGCATCGGTCAATTCTCCCATGGCGAATGTATCCGTGTCGATCGGCAGCGATTGTCCTATGGGTGCACGCGCTTGTGGGGTGAGCTCTGGAAACTGGACTTGCCATTGCACGTCTTCGAAATAGTCTGCCAACACATCTGGCCGTTCAGCTGTATCTGCGAGTGTTCCATAGGGCCGCTTGACCGTCGCATGCTTTGGAATCGGAGGTTTCCCCTCAAATGGAGAACCGCTTCCCAATCACCGTTTCCCAATGACATGCCTAACCATTCTTCGCGATCTTGCACTCCAGATTTCCGGATCGATTTGTGCAACTGTTTTTCGGCATTGTGATCCCCGGCTGTACGAGCACTTTTTCTGTGGTCGATCAGATCGACCGCGCGCCTGCTTGTCGACACTTGCTGTAGGACTCAGTTCCCGCGCGGCTGAAGTCTCAGAAGCTTTCTCGAGTCCATGTCGGAGCCAGTTGTTCAGAACATCAACAGCACCAGTTCCAGCATTCATTGAATTGCCAACGGCCTCCACAAATTCTGATGTATTCCCTCCTCTCTGTAATGATCTTTGAATCCCGCCTTGTCCACGTGCTTTTTGTTAGAAGTGCCATTTTTCTTGACGGCCAAATTTGAAGCCACAATAGTGAGGTAGGGATGTGTGTTAAGCACGCCCCGCCGGCTCGTCCAGATATCATGCAAGATGTGTAAAACATTGCGGCGGCAGGGCACGTGGTCTAGAAATGTCATTGTCTGAAGGGTCGACGCCCAGATCTCTATAGTAAACTTTCATGCTTATTGGATGGTCGTGATACGTGTGAGCCACCAAATCACAAGACCTACTCAACTCCACTAAGAGGTCCCTGTTTGAAGCTGTGGTCTGCGCCGTGTTGTCCGCAACACCCGGGCACTGAAACACGTGAGCGCCGGTGATTTCTTCTCCGGCTCCAACCCGCAAGAGCCTAGCGTTCAAGTCTCCCATGATGTACGTCGTGCTGTTCGCAGTGGTTGCTCGGATATGAGTCTGGAGATCCATGTAGAAGGAGTGCCGCTCCTCATATGGACGACGGTTGTGCGGAGCATATGTTGAAAGCAACGTTAGCATACCGCGTCTGACTTTGATTATGAGGGAGGCCACTCTGGAGTTACACGCCTTGAATGCGACGATGCTGTTCAAGACTCGGAGCCACCATGAATCCCACTCCACCGTGTGACTGGACTTCCGAGTCCAGCTCGCCTGAAAGAATAATAGTGTACCCGTATCGCGTATACAATTCTGCTCCATGTAGGTGCGTCTCTTGAATGCATAAGATATGAATTTCGCTTGTGCGCATGATGTCGATCATCTCGTCGATCTTGATGATGCAGTCGCCACGTAGGCCTTCGATGTTCCACGTGCCCCAGCGAGGCCTGAAGGCAGACCGGGGTCTGCCCCAAGAGAGGCTCGAGGAAGAATTTGATGGAACAAGAAACCCTCCGCTACGTGGTCCCTGGTGATGGTCGGGTAGAGGAGGCAGGAGTACAGGGTGTGGTGCAGAAGGATGTTGCCAGGAAGGTGGAACGACCGCGGGTCGCTGTACGAGGGTAGCTGTGCCCCACTTCGTAGCGACAGTCGTGGTATCTTTGCCCACGGTAGCGGCAGAGAAATGCACCCATGGATTTTCAGCCCGAGGGTCTGGCCGTGTTTCCTATCTGCCTTTTGCTTTTCCATTTTGCCGAGCCCTTCATACCCTCGGCAGCTCGCTGCAGGAGCGATTTAATTTGGCTGAGAAGTTCGATTCGCTTGGGATGCGGGCAAGACTTATATCCATATCCAGTGCGTCTTGAATTGTTTTGGAAGAAGCGCCTCAAGGCCGAGGCGCACTGGATATGGATAAAAAGCTAGCCTCTACGGTGGGCAACTTTATCCATATACAGTGTGCCTCGGGTTTCTGGGGAAGGGAGCCCGAAACTCCACACTGCAGTGGATATGGACAGAAGTATTGCCCGCATGGGAGCTTTGGACGTTTCTGAAGTTCCTCCCAGGCTTCCCATTCAGGGCCCCATTCCAGTGCAAGTTTGGCCTCATGGACAGGCACGGAAGCTGCAACATCGCCTCTCACACTTGTTTGAAATGGAGATTCTTCAGCGGTGGTGTTCATTTTGTAGGTGTTCTTCAAATCGTTATTGAGTATGTGTTTCAAGCCGAAGCATACGTTTCGAGCAGCATGGTGAGCGGGGGGCCTATCTGGCGCAACCCACATTGATGTACCTCCATGGTCGGGTGCAGCTCTCTGTAAGATATCGACTGCGAGGTCGCGACCGGCCTCGGTGGCGAAGACCGCGAAGAGGATGTCCCGGAACTCTCTTTTGCAGTAAATGTCCAAAGAAGCGGGCGCAGAAAGCGAAGATACGGTACTTTTCATCCACGGTGTGGCCGAGGCCATAGAACCAAGACCAACCAGCTTACCAATCACTGCAGTACTATTCCGCCTGGGTCCACCGGCAGCACTCACATGTTTTCCGACTTGCGTCATCTTTTGAATTTGCGTTTCCAAGTCGTGCAACATGCTCTGCGTAGTCGTGTCTGTTGGTGCTTCGGAACCAGTCCTCGCAGATGTGGGTCGGGAAGCCACTGCTTCCAGAGCAGCAACACGTAACGTAATATCTGGAATTGCATGTTGAAGAGGCGTGATTGCGTCTTTCAACGCTTGATTCGATACACAGTTCTTTTTGGTGGCCTCGACGTTGTCCTTGAGAGGCTTGAGCTGCTCTTGAAACATCTCCCGCATGCCCTCCATGGTGATCGCAGTCCCAGCTCCTCCTTTTTCTCCACCCTTACCGAGAGCAAAAGTCGCAGGAGGAGGGCGTCGGAATGTATTTTGATTGTTCTGACTGTCGTCGACGTCCATCTCGTGAAATGGGCTGTGGATCCTGTGCACCTTGAGCGCTTGCTTGACCGGGGTGCCTGACATGTGAGAATTATCCGAAGAAGACATCGCAGAGGGTATCGAATGTAGGGAGGATGCGAGGAAGAACGTGAGGAGTGGGTAGCGTGATGCTCAAATCGGCCTCGGTGCCTTTGGTGGAAACCGCCCTGGTTCGCGAAGGGCACAAGTCAACGTAAACCATACGATCTAGAATCTGTGGGGGGAAAGTCGGAGCAGGTCCCCCACTGGCGACCCCCCCCGCATCCCGCATCCCAGGAACCTGCTACAACGACTACAGGGACACCGAGCCGCACGACGGCTACGGCCTCGTCCGCGGCTGGAGAGACCGCTTCTTCGCCTCCTCGCTCGCCGCGCGCTCCATCCGCAACCGGCTGGACGGCGGTGACTTGGGAGGAGGAGGAGGAGGAGGAGGAGGAGGAGGAGGAGGAGGAGCAACAGGAGTAGGAGGAGGAGGAGGAGGAGGAGGCGGGGATTGAGGAGGGGGGATGAGGAGGAGGAGGAGGAGGAGCAGGAGGCTAAGGAGGAGGAGGAGGAGGAGGAAGAGGAGGAGGAGGAGCGGAGCAGGAGGAGGAGGAGGAGGGGAGGAGGAGGAGGAGGGAGGGGGGAGGGGGGGGGGAGGAGGAGGAGGAGGAGGAGGAGGCGGAGGCGGAGGAAGAAGAAGAAGACGAATAAGAAGACGAACCATAATAATAATAATAATAGTAGTAAAAGAAATAATATTAATACTACTAATAATACTACTACGAATAATAATATTAATAAAACTAATAAGAACACGACTACTCAGAAGACGAATAATAAGCCGAATAAGACGAACACGAATAATAACACTAATACTACGCATACGAAGAATAATACTACTACTAATCAGAAGAATAAGACGAATACCACGAATAATAATAATAATAATAATAATAATAAACCTCACACGAATCATAATAAACAATATCAGACTACTAATACACATAATCATGCTACGAGGAAGAATAATACGACTAAGAAGAAGACGACTACGACTAACACTACTAAGACGAATACTATTACTACTACTACGACTAAGAAGAGTAATACAAACACTACTACTAATATTAATACTGGTAATACTACTAATAATACAAATAATGCTACTAATAACGATACGACTAATAATAACAACACTAATACCACTATTACTACTATTATTAATACTTCTAATAATACTACATAGTAATAATAACACTACTAATAATACTTATACTTGTAATACTACGATTAATATCAATAATATCAATACTAATACTACTACTAGTACTAATAGTACCACTACTAAAACTACTACTACTACTACGATTACTACTACTACTACTACTACTACTACTACTACGAATACTAATTCTACCACGCCACACAGTAAGACTAGTACTAATACTACTAACAGTAATCGTATTAATAATACCAATAATAATATCAAGACTATTAATGATAATAATAATAATGATACTACCAATGATAATAATATGAAACTAGTAATAGTGATGCCACTACTAATACTACTATTAATAATAATATTACTAACAATAATACTACTACTAATACTGATATTAATACTAATACTACTAATCATAATAATATCAATAATAATACTAATAATAATACTAATACTAATACTACTACTAATAATAATAACAACACTAATAATAATACTACTATTACTAATACTAATAATACTTATAATACTGATAATAACAATACTAACACTAATAGTAATACTAGCAGTAGTAAGAATACTAGCACGCGCATGCTAATAACACGACTACGAAACCGACTACTATGAAGAAGACACCGGAGAGGAGGAGGAGGCGGAGGAGGAGGAGGAGGGGGAGCATGAGGGGGAGGAGGAGCATGAGGGGCGGAGGAGACGGATGAGGAGGAGGAGGCGGAGGAGGAGGAGGAGGAGGAGGAGGAGGAGGAGGAGGAGGAGGAGGAGCGGGGGAGGAGGAGCAGGAGGAGGAGGGGGAGGAGGAGGAGGAGGAGGAGGATGAGGAGGAGGAGGAGGAGGAGGAGGAGGCGCAAAGGGGAGGGGGAGG